GGAGAAGGGACTGTAGTGTAGTGAGGTAACTCGCTTGCTATCTCTGTCTCTGACTGTCTTGCAAGTGCATGAGACCTACAGCAAAAATCTCTAAAAAACAAAACCAAGAAACCACACCAGATGCATGTGCCTGTATTTCCCAAATCCCAACAAGATGGAGAAATGGAGGAGAAAGGACTGCAATGTGACCACACGCCACTGGGGGTGCTTTCTTCCTCTCTTCAGTGGGCACACACACCCTTGGCAAAATAAAAAGAAAAAAAAGAGAGAGAGAAAAGAGGGTCTAAGAATATCAGCATCCAGTGTCATGCTAGCCTAATACATTCTCTAAGAGTCAAACTGAAATTTCAGCCAGGAAGGGGGATGGGCCACTAAGCCCTTCTGAGATGCAAAATTACTTTTATATATACAGGCCTTGCTTCTGCCCTTTGAGCTAATTCTGCCTTTGTCCTACTGCACTGAGGATGGGCCTTGCCTCCATTAAGCACTAGAATCAACCCATGCAGGCACTTCGGGCAGGACACGAGTTAGAAAGCCAGGGCCACCAAATCCCCATTTCTACCTGCCTGCTCCCTTCCATTTCCCTACTTAAGTACAGACGGTATTTCTAACTCAAATTTAGTGCTTCTTTATAAACATTTGGTCTTCATCTACCGTGTGCAGGTGCAAAAAGATACAAGACAGTGTCTTGTCAGCAATCAGTTAAATCCTACCAGAAAAAAAATTTTTTTAATTGCCAGAGAGACAGTGAGGGAGAAAGCACCCCGCAACGGGACATGGTTACACTACAATTCCTTCCCCTCCATTTTTCCATCGCGTTGGGATTCTGAGCACACATGAATGACCACTGGTTTTCAAGACACCAGGCCGGGATTCAAACATGGACCATGGCTGGTCATGTGAGATCCAGCTCTCTTAACTATTAGGTACAAAGCAGACATTAAAAAATTAAACCTTTAAAAAGCAAATACTAGTTTATACTTTGTCTAAGGGCAATATTGCTACTGTGGACAATTTGGACTATCCCCAAGGGTTGAAATATCTTGAGGGTGTTTCAAAAAGAAGGTATATAAGACATAAGCAGGGCTCCAGAGAAACAGAAGTGAAACTGAAGGAACAGGCATCCCAAGCAGGGGCAAAGGTCACTTGATTCAGCTGACAAGAGGCCTACCTACAGAAACCATTTAGTTAGTGGGGATTAGGATAAACCCTGGGGAGGTGGGCTGGGGCCAGCTGGGCAGTAGCACCTTGAATGCTAGGTCATCAAATCACATCCCATAAGCCTGCAGTTCCTGACTTCAGAGAAAAATCTCTACAGTCTGCCAAGTGTGTCTGTTAAAAGTGCTGAAGGAGGGTCAACTGGTGGCATGATGGTTAAGGCAGCTGAATCTCACATAGTCAACTGGATGGTGAGTCCCAGACCCAGAGCCTTGAAAAACACACCAAGCATGTGTGTATGCATTCCCAAAGTCCAAAAAGGAGGAAGAAACAGAAGGGATTGTGGTGTGATGATTCCCCACAGTGGGTGTTTTCTCATTTTCCCTTTCTTTTCTTTTTTTTTTTGGAGAGATTTTCACTGTAGGGCGAGTGCGCTCGCCAGACAGACAGAGAGAGACACAGAGACAGAGAGCGAGAAATCATCCCCCAGGGGGGATTGTCACGTTGCAATCCCTTCTCCTCCATTCTCCTCTCGGGATCTTGGGCACGCACGCACACGCGCCCGGCGTGAGTTTTAAGCCACCGGGTCCGGGACACGAACCGCGGTCGACTACGTGGGAGTCCAGCAACATAGCCATTACGCTAACTGCTGGTTCCCCCTTTTTTCTTTCCAGAGATGCATACTCACCATCTGACAAAAAAAAAAAAAAGTGTTTACATTTACAGGTGAATTATGCAAAGACAAAGACAAAGAAATTAAAGTGGATGAAAGGGTCCACTATTTTAACAGTCTTGCTCATGTGCACTCAAAAATGCCCAGTACAGGGAACCAGCAGTTAGCGTAATGGCTATGTCGCTGGACTCCCACATAGTCGACCGCGGTTCGCGTCCCGGACCCGGTGGCTTAAAACTCACGCCGGGCGCGTGTGCGTGCGTGCCCAAGATCCCGAGAGGAGAATGGAGGAGAAGGGATTGCGGCGTGACCATCCCCCCTGGGGGGTGATTTCTCGCTTTCTGTCTCTATGTCTCTGTCTGTCTGGCGAGCGCACACGCCCTACAGCGAAAATCTCTCCAAAAAAAAAAAAATGCCCAGTGCAGAAGTACCACTATAAGAGGGTCAGCCCATGGCCTGCCTGATGGTTAGGGAGGAGGCTCCCACATGGCTAACAGCTCTGCTGAGTCTCAGATGGGCAGCCTGAAAAACATGCTAGACATGTGTGCACATGAGCCCCAAATGAGAAGGGATTGCAGTGGTGACCATTACCAATGGGGCGGTGCTCTCTCTCTCTCTCTCCAGGGAGTACAATCTGTCAAAATTAAAAACAAACAAAAAGTACTACTATAAGCTATCCTTAGGTAATAATCAAGTTAAATCAATAATCATCTGCTATTTTTTTTTTTTTTTGGAGAGGTTTTTGCTAATAGAGCACATGCACTCATCAGACAGAGACAGAGAGACAGAAAGCGAGAGATCACTCCCAGGAGGATGACCACTTGGTAATCCCTTCTCCATTCTCTTCAGGATCTTGGGCACTCATGCACAACACGCGCCCAGCGTTGAGTTTAAGCCACCAGGTCTGGGACTCGAATCATGGTTGACTACATGGGAGTCCAGCAATGTAGCCATTACACCATCTGCTGGTCCCATAATCGTGTTAAATCAATAATCATCTACTACTCATAAATATTCATGAGGTAGTAAAAGCATTAAACAAAAGCAATAAAAAGTTCTTGGATAGTCTATGATTTCCACAAGACAGCAGTTCCAAAGTTTTAACCCAGCATTAGATGATGGACGGGTTTCACTGGGTCTTGCACCCCCTAAAATGTCATACAAAAGTCAGTGTTATGCACGTCAGCAGGCAGCGTGGTGGTTGGGGAGCTAGACTCCCACATGGCCAACCATAGTTCAAGTCCTGGACCTGGCACCTTGCTTCCTTTCT